AACATGGCCCACTCGGACTCCATGTCCCCAACCTCCCCCTGGATGCAAGAGAAACTCTTGAGGAGGTGGGAGTTGAAAACCCCATGGACAGGGGCCTCTGCCAGACATTCCCAATTTACCGTCACTACACTGTTGGGTTTACCAGGTCTGTCCAGCAACCTTCCCCGCCATCAGATCCAACTCACCACCAGGTGGTGATCAGTTGACAGCTCTGCTCCTCTCTTCACCCAAGTGTCCGAGACATCTGGCCGCAGGTCTGATGGCACGACTACAGAGTTGATCATTGACCTTTGGCCTAAGGTGCTCTGGTACCAGGTAGACTTATGAGCAACCTTGTGCTCAAACATGGTCTGTGTTATGGCCAATCCAAGACCAGCACAGAAGTCCAATAACAGAGCACCCCTCAGGTTTGGTTCAGACGGGTCGTCCCCCCTCCAGGTTTCTGTATTGTTGTGAGTCTCCAGAAGAACCATGAAGTCCCCAGGCGGCACCTTTCCAGGAACCAATCAGAGGCAAAACCCTGCTGGTCTCTGTTACATTTTGCTGGGCACACATTTTATCAACACACTATAAAGTCGACTCTTAATGGTTTTACCTGAGCAGGTGACCTCTATGACGGCAGAGGAAGTGCGATGTTTTGTGCAACATTCAATCAGAGATGAAGCGCCACAGTCATATTCTATTCCCCAGACATTTAGTCGTGAACCCATCTCTCTTCTTCTGGTTGAAACTGGAGATCCACAGTCCAGCTCTCTGCACACTTTCTCTGCTAACCTCAGGTTCCAGTCCGGTTCGTCCAGTGGTTTCCATTCGCCCCAGTGTCTCATCTCCAGAGTGCCGCCACACCGGCTGGCTCCGCCAACCAACCGGATGTTCCCTGGATCTGGGTGGAAACAAAAGCGCAGAATGAACACAACTGGGCCTTTGGATTTAAACTGCTGGAGATTTTTTCTGCTTTACCTGAGCAGGTGAGTGCGACGGCTCTGCCAGGTGAGCAGGTGTCTCTATCTGAGCTGGAACAGCGCAGCAGAGCCAACTCGTGGCCGTCGCACTGGAAGTCTGTTGTGATCCACGCTGGAGCTTCTC